AAATATAAAAAGCAACTAACATTTGTAGAGTACTGGTTAAAATTCACAATGTAATTTTCACATGCATCACCTTATTCATTCTTCATAATAATCTCATAAGGCTGCAATTATAACATTTAGAAATGAGAAAAACTAGAAATTGGAAAAGATAAAGTGCTCAGATCACACAATGGAATGGGAGGACTCAAATCCTTGGTGAATCTAGACTTCTTCATGTATCATACAACCTTCCAATCCATATTTGAGATTATAGTGTCTTAACCTCTTACACCTCTAACTAACTTGCCACAGTATTATTAATCAACGAATAAAGATTAGTTGTTACTTCAACTTTCTTTTTCTAAATATTCTTCTTAATCCATCTAGAAGCTGGAAGTAAAATTTTCCTCACAGTTATCAAACCACCCAATTCCACAAGTTTTGACTGTGTTTATTTTAGAAAACAGAGCTAAGAAATTTTAGACTATAAACCAAATTCTTATTTTTAATTTAAATTTCATTTATTTTGCAAATTGGTAACACTTTTATATGGTTCAAAACACAAAAGGTACCAAAAAAGGTGACAAGAGTCTACCTACAACCCCTTCATCCATCCCAGCTTCCCCATTCCATTCCTGTAAACCAATATCCAGTTTCTTGTGAAACCCTTAAATATATCATAAATATCTTTATATATGCCTGTTAGAATACAATCCTCCGGGGATTTCTCTGTGTTCCTATAAAATCTAAGTCTCCTGAAGATGAAAGCTGGCATGACACAAAGATGGAGAATGTCTCCATTCTAACTATTCTCTCTTTTCTCTGAAGCCATTCAAAGTGTAATAAAATCTTTTCTCTTCCCCAGAGTCCAATGCTTACAATATTTAGTAGAGACCTCCTCTCCTGTCCCAACCGAAGATTTGTATACATCCCAGAGAAAAAGATAAGCACTCCATCTCTTGAAGAGTAGAGGTGCCAGCTTCTATATATAACCTTAAAGATTCATAATTTCTGAGTTCTTTCTCTAAACCTCACTATAAGTACAGATATAAGTATATGGTCTCACTCTGATGCTCTGCGTACAATTGGGTGTTGGGATCTAGAACTACCACATTACTGCAGCCACTGGCTATGTAGTCTTATTTCTGATCCAGAGGCTAGGTGTTTCTACAACTATATGTGCAAGTAGGGTAATATTTGAGACTCTTTAGAGTTTTGGGCTTACTCCCTTTCTTACATACATGGTACTATGCTATTCTCTAAACACCTGCTTTATTTCACTTATTGTATCCTGAAAAGTCAACATGTTAAATTAGACTTATCTTCTGTATATTTGTTCTTTCTGGCCTAGTTCAAATGGTGATCAGCTAGGATTTGGAGCAGAGTAAGGTGGAAAAGAAGAAATCAGGGATTAACTCAAGTTTGTAGTTTTGCTGATTGTTACCAAATTAACTATTACCAATTTCAGTTAATTTCAACTCCTAAGCATTAAAAAGAAAATCCCCTCTTTGCTCTCTCTACTCTGCTTCCCTAGATTGTAGATGGCCACACGATGGTTTCTCTGTGTGCTCGTCACATGCACTAGGAAAGGCTCTCCAGTGCTAATCTGATCACATCACTTGCCTGCTTCTGTTGAGCAAGCAGGTGTTGAGTTGGGGTGATCGATAAGGACAGCAAGCCAAACAGCAAGAGGCAAAAAGAGAGGCATCAGTTCCAGAATGTTCCATTCCCTTCCCTGCTTTGAAATAGCCCCAGGTGAGGGTCAGGTGGACAAAGCATAGATTCAAGGAATCATCTCATTCTAAGGAGCCCCAAACAAAAGACTCCTAGCTCTTTATGGACCCAGGGGCTGGGGTGAAGGATAGGCAGAAGGGCTAGGAGTGGAAAGGGACTGAGTCAAAGTAGAGATAAGGAGGTCTTATCAGATGTACTTGAGAGGTACTTTATCCAAGGTCTCTGATAGTGAGGCCTCCAAACAGACACTTGGGTTAGAAATGCAGGTGTACATACCAGCATGTTTGGCCTTACGGACTGGGAGTGGGGAGAGTCATAAGTCCTTAACCTCAATTTTCTCTAGAAAACTTCATTCAAGTCCAGTGTGGACAAGGCACCTTCTCCCTATGCAGCCTGCTAGACAAAGTCTTGTAATTGCCTATGGTCAAGACTAAAAGATGACACAGGAATTGTGGCCTAGAGATGGACTTCTCAGTCTTCAGTGGCTACCCAAAAGCCTAATAAATGCCTTCACATGATAAACAAAGATTCCTTCATCTGACTCCATGCTTACTTCTCTGCCCTGATCTTCTGCTTCACATGTCATACTCTAGTAAAAATTATCTTCTCCAAACTATTCTAACCTCCATTCCTCTGCTCATACAATTCCCACTGCTTTCACTACCTTCCGTTTCACAACCAAGCAAACCCCCACTTATCCTTTAAGATGCATCCCAAGTGCCACCTCCTTCAGGAAGTCTTCTTAGTAAATATCCACCCTAATTTTAGGCACAAGTAACTACTCCCTTACCCAGCAGATCCTTAAGCCTTTATGCATACACTTCTATTTTACTTACCACATAATATTTTGTTTATATATATCTCTACAACAAAACGCTAAATTCCTAGAGAAGAGAAGCTACATCCTATTGTTTTGTATCCCCAAATGCCAAAGAGATATCTGGCATTTAGCAGGAACATGGGGAATAACCTTTGTGGAATCAGTGTTCTATAAATCGACATTACTATAGCACAAGGAACAGGACACCACCAAAGCAGGACTGCATGACACAAGCCCCACAGGCTAGTCAGTTCAAATAACAGGGTCCCCAGCACTAACAGCCTCTCTACACCGAAGGCCCAATTATTTCAAAACCATCTTTTCATCAGGTTGTCCAAGGTGCACCTGCCACTCCAGGATTTGCTGTCAAACTTGTCAAAGACAATCTTATTCACCCTTCCTCCATCCCTCAAAGGATCTTTTTGTTTCTTCACTCTCATTTCTGGGCCAAAGATAGTCATCAGATATCTACTATAAAACAAGTATCATTCTATTACTTGAACTTTTTGCTAAGCTTTTTACGACACACCTCCCACCCTCAAAATAGCCACCCCTTCTCTATCCCAGGAAAGGGCTTCTAAAGCAGCCCAATAGCTCTTTGGAATTCCTTCTTCAAAAGTCCATCTTTCATTCCTTACATTTGGCTTCTTAGCTGACAGGCCTTAGGATCCTTGGTTGTTGGGGATTCATTACGACCTTTCATTAACATATTATTAGTACTGGAACATTTAAAAGTGTCTGTTTGCAAAATGATAAACAAAACTTTTCACTTAACGGTTTTGAGCTTTCAATACCTTAACTTTCACCCAATTTGCGTGGGAATCCAGTCAGAGAAGGAAGAAGAGAGCCAAGTAGAAAAAGACAGCCAATGTTAGCAAAGGTCTTAGTCGGTACATACCTACAACAACGTTAAATTGGGAAAGTCCACGTAAACTCGTTTCCTTAACAAGTCACAGTTTCCAGCTCTGTCACCAAAGAGAATACTAGACTTCATTCCGAGGGAGACCGCAGGAATGAACCCCAGGTAGGCCTGAGGCCAAGGCCTAAAGACTCCATGGCAGGGAACTTAAATTAGATTCGCTCGCTTACTCTCAGTAAACGTTCAGGTATGTGCTGAGATCATTTGGACTGTTTCTACACTTACTGAGCAGGCACAGAGCTATAGCCTCTAGAAAAAAGTCAAGCTGGGTGAGAAGTATCCTAGATAACTTTAAAAATCCAAGTGAGAATAGCAAAGGTGAGCTTCTTACCTGGTAAAATCTTCAATTCTCAGGTAGAATCAAAAGCAAAAGCTACAGTATAACTCATATGGTCATGTTGTATCATCTCCTATTTTTATACAGAGTATCTACATATTTCTGTATCCTTTGTTGCTTAAGAAATTTTAGATCCTCTATGTGGGAAGATAGACTAGCAATTTGTGTGAATTTCATGACTACAAATCTATTAAAACTCTAAAATATTTTAATGGATTGTGGTTGTCTAAAATGAAATCACCATATAAGTAATAAAGACATGAATGGGTACTCCCTGTACTTACAAGAGAACGTGAGCGATAATGGCATTCACATCAAACAAGGTGTCAGTAGGGAATTCTCTGAGTAATATGTTGCCCCTGTAAAAAGTTCAAAAAGGCATTACAGAAATATCTCCTTAGCATCCAATTTACTTGTTTCTCAAATATACTAGGCTTTTAGTTCTTTAATATTAGAGCCTGTCTGCATTATCTCATGCACCTAACAGAGTGCTAGCCATAATATACGCTCAAATATTTATTGAAGATACACTAAATAACCATGTTAACTTAGGTTTCTGGGCCTAGCAAAAAAAAAAAAAAAACTGGAATAAAACATGAGTCTAAACAGGGCTTCCTACTAACCTCCCTGTCACGTATATACACAGATTCCCCAAACTGGGCTGGGAAAAAGACAAGCAGGAGAGAGAAAGAAGTGTCCTCCACAGTAGGCCCCCGAGGAGACAGGTTCTCTCCCCACTTTCTAGGCCAAATCCCAAGGGTCTGTAGAGAAAATCTGAGAAATCTCTTATAGACCCAAGTACAGAGGAGTCCACATCCAGGACATCAGCAGATTCCTCAAAAATAAGGCACATTTATTTCACACCTGAATATGGGCCTACCATATCTACTTAGAACACTAAATTTTCTAAGTGCATACTTAAGAGGCATTTGTAGTAGGAGTCTACATAAGATTCCCATGTAATATTCAAAACAACCCTGTGAAGTAGGTATCATTCTCTTCATTTTATAGACAAGGAAGCTAAAATGCAGGTAACAAATCTAATACTTGAACTTTTTGCTAAGCTTCATATGTGACCCCCACTGCAAACAACTTTATTCTAGATTAGTGATAATTTATACACTTAAGTATTCTAGAAGTATAGCTTTATATTTATCCATCACACTAAAAATAATAGTTTACCTGAATAAATAGGCTTTCATCAAATCCTTTTCTTTTCCACAGTATCTTGATGTTTCTTCTTTAGCACAATTAACCTTTAAAAAATTATATTTAAGGCTTAGAATATATATCAAAAGGTAAAGTTTCTTGGTTAGGAGAACAAGAAGGAAAATTAAACATTACAGTTTATCTCCAGGTTAAATTTTTTTTAGTTTTCTTTCTGATTTTTATCCTGTAATTGCTCATTTGTTCAAGTGCTTGAGGTAACCCAGAAACTTTTTCTACACCTAAGAGTTGTATTTAATTACATCTAAGAGTTTACATTTAATTCAATCTTATGGAGCAAGTAGAAGGTAACTAGGTAGAAAAGGAAGGAAACAAAGCAGGACAAAAATTATGAGCAAAAGCCAGGAAGCATAGAAGTGAGTGGTAAACTGGGACCATGAAAGCATCTCAGCAGCCTAAATACAAGTATGGCAGATACTACTGGTTTCCTACCCAGAATACACCTTCCCCTTTTGTTTTACTAAGAGAACTTCACTAAAAGCAAGTACCCCATTAAAAGATTTTTACAAGCTCCCAATAGCCAAGGATGGCTAAGTTGTGTTAAGTCATTTGGTTGGGATTCCTAGAAGGCTCTTAAAAGGGGATGGACTAAAAATAAAAACTCTTGCTCTTCTCACTTCTTCCTGACAAAACTCAGACAAGATAGCTAGAAAACCAGCAGTAATCAGGGACCGTGATGAATCTTTCAAGAAGAAACACCTGCTGAAGACAGTACAACAGAAAAAATGAACCTGAGTCCCTGATGATGTTAGAGCAGCCATCACAACCCTTGACCGCTTACAATCAGGACTCTAACTAAAAAATATAAGGACAATCCTGAACATGAAGATAAAATGGAAGGCATGAGAGCACAAAGATAAGGAGGCAGGTTGAAAGAATATCACATTATTATAGGTCGAGTATGACTGGGATCTGAAGTCAAGCAGAAAAGGACAAAAGAGATTCAAGAGACTTCACGAATACGGTAAGTAAAACTAAGGAGAAATTTGAGCATGTATGCAACATGGAATAGAGCGGCGGAAGGAAGACAATAAAGAGAATGAAGAGGTTATTAGATGGAGCAAATGGGTAGCCACCAATATAACTTAGCAAAACCAAGGCTAGAAGAAGTTACTTTGTTTTGGATTTTAAGTTTTGGGGCTCTTTATGATGGGTTTTATTGTTGTTGTTGAATTTAATTTTAATAGAGTTTGAGTAATCAGAATGACAATTAGGGAAGCTACATTTGTTCCCCCAAAAGCTACAAAAGGAGAAGTGATACTCAGAAAAGATATCAGGAAAAGAGAAAGTTAAAAGTCAGAGTATAGCCATAACCAAAAAAAGTAAAAATTTGTGAATGTAATTTTTAAAAGAATGTTTAAAAGTCAGAGCATAGGGGATGGTTGGCATTATGACAATAAACTGGTCCATTTGTCCATTCATCATCTATTTGAATACCTACTATATGTTAGTCACTGTTCTAGTCACTGGGGGTGCTGTTAAGTTCCAAATAAAAATCTTTACCTTTAGAATCTACATTCTAAAAGTAGAGACAGATCATTTAAAAAACTAATATGTAATGTTAAGTGCTATAAAAAAATATATTAAGGGGTTAGCTTGTAATAGGACATTTTAGATAGGAATCAAGGAAGTGACATTTGTACAAACAATGAAGTAATGGAGTGATGCATACAAATATGTAAGTATGTGGAACAGACGAGTTCTAAGCAGAGTGGGAAGATATCCTCAAAGGTCTTGTGGAAATAACATATCTGGAGATTCGGGTAACAGAAAGATTGACCAGTATGTGTCAGGAACAAAATCAGCAAGGGGAGGGACAGAAAATGAGATTAAAGAGGAAGCCAGTGCCCACAAAAGTTTCAGTTTATCATAACTATAATGCAAAGCCTTCTGAGAGGACACAACTGACTTACATGTGAAGAAGGAGAAATGCCAATTATTAGAAGGCTACTGTGACTTCCCAGATAAGAAATGATGATGGTTTGGATAAGGAGTAAGGGGTAAAAGTGAAGGTACTGGAAGTGGTAATATCTGGAAAGTTTTGATAGTAGAAATGTTACCAAACTCGAGGGGTTCATATAGTTGGCTTTGGTTATTATACATGCTTGACAATCTTTGTCTTAACTGCAATATTTAGTCCATTTATATTTTAGTGTTTTCTTCATCTACCTTTGCCTCTTGAAATCTCAACTTTTGAGAAATCTCAAAATGCTACTTTTTGTGGTCTTTCCCAATACCATGTGTGACCTTCCACCCCGACAATCAGGTATGAGCTTTCTTTTCTCTTAATCTCTACTGCATTTTATTTGTATTTCTCTTACTAAATGGTCAGGTTCTGCTTATTACTAAAATGATTTGTGAATGTATTTCGTCTTTCCTATTTAGGATAGAAACCCTTCAAAGTAACAGACTGAGACTTAGTCATCTTTCTATCCAATAGAAGATTAAATATAGTGAACTTATTTCAATCCCATAAACATTTACTGAGTATCTATTATGTGCCAGGTCTCAGTTAACTTTGAACAACTAATTATACCTCGGAATGATAATGGCACTCATCTCTGAGGAGCTTTGAATAAAGTTTTAAACGGAAATTTAGAAATGAAATAGTAGGTTGGTATGACTCTCAAAAGGGATAATCATGATATTTATCTAGTAACTAGGAAACTAGCAACTAGTAACTGTGTATCTAATAACTGGAGTAGAATATTAAGCTTTGTGGGCACCCACCCTGGGCACGGTACCTCTATACAAACAGAACTGAGTGAAAAAAAATTTTTTAAGGTATATAGCCATGACATGATAAGAAATACATATTTGGTCTCTGCCCCTAGTTCCTAACACAGAGTTTCTAAAACCCGTATAATTTCCTGAGCACCATGAATACTAGGAGTATCTTTTGTTCTAATATTTGGTCTTTTAACTCCAGTTCCAGATGTAAGAGCATCTAAAACCCTTGGAGTGTCTTCTTCCATGCTAATGAATGACTGGTGGCTGGGGTGCCCTAGATAGCTGGTCCTCCGAAAGACAAAGGCAAGATTAAGAGGGTTGGAATTTTCAGCCTCACCTTCTATCCTTCAGGTAAGATTGTTTAATCAACAAAGACCAATGATTTAATCACCCTTGCCTACACAATGGAACCTCCATAAAAACCTCAAACGACAGAGTTTGGAGAGCTTCTGGGTTGGCAGACACATCCAAGTACTGAGAGAATGACACACTCCAAACCACCCCAGGATAGACCTCCTGCACTCAAGACCTTGCCCTATGGTCTCTTCCATTTGACTATTTCTGAGATAGCCTTTATAATAAACCAATAATAGTAAGTAAAGTAATTCCCTGGGTTTTGTGAGTCATTATAGCAAATTACTGAATTTCAGGAAGGAGTGGTGAGAACCCTCAATTTGTAGCCAAGTTCTGTAGAAGTCTCAGGTAACCTGGGGACACACTACTTGTGATTGGCATCTGAAGTGATAGGCAGTCTTATAAAACTGAGCCCTTAACTTGTGTGGTCTGTGCTAACTTTGTGTAGTTAGTGTGAGAATTCCTTGGTGTGGAAAACTCACACATTTGGTGTAAGAAGTGTTCTGTGGGTAGAGAGAACAGAATCCCTTTAAAAGCCAAGGTTAGTTAACCTTTCAATGCTTCTTACCCTGGAACTCTAGTTGCAGAGACCAAGGACAATAGCCATCTCTCGGAGAAGGAAGGCTAATCAACTAAGAATAAATGTACACTGTGTGAAAGAAAGTGGTTAAGAAGGAAGGCTAATCAACTAAGAATAAATGTACACTGTGTGAAAGAAAGTGGTTCTATGAAAAGTAACCTCACTAGGTGATTAGATCACAAATTCCTAACTGGGCAGGTCATGATAGGTATTCATGCCCCAAGCGCATAACTTTAGTAAAAAAAGGCTTATCTTTTTGCCTTAAGCAAGCCTTGTCCATTGTTTCTGTGCATATACATTAACATACCTTTGAAATGCCTCTTTTCAGACCCTTCCTTCTAATATGTGGTGACCACCTTTTCAGACTCCTCAAGAAAGTACATAATCTTAACTATCCTGTAATCCAGTTCCCACTTTGCTTTCTCCTATCTTCATGTAATTTCCTTACGTTCCCTCTTTAATTTCAAATGCATAAAAGAAAATGCAAAACTGTTATCCTCCGGAGCATTTGAGATCTTGCTCCCCAGCATTTGTTGTTGGTTTGGCTCAAATCAACTCTTATAAAAACTCTCTACAAGTTTGGACGTTTCTTACGTGGACGACAGAAAGTCAGGTAGACACTAATCAAAGAATTTAATAATCCCTGTATTATTTCTCATTTAGTTTTCTGAAGTACAAATTCTAAATTTAAACTAAATGAAAGGCTCAGGTAGCTATCTAGTCCATGATGCTTGTGGAAATATTCCATAATACTCAATGGCAAATATGTACATTTTCTGAGAAAAAAATTAACTATATACGTTCAAATTAGGTTGTTTTAACTTTGTACTTAACATGCATGAGAGAAACTGCAATATAAGCAATTATAAAGACTTAGAATGGGAAAGAAAAAATACTTGAATTACCTCCATTTTAGTACCTCCATTTGTGCTAATAGAAATTTAATAAACAATTGAATTGTGAATATCTATTATGTCAGGCAAAACAAAACCAATGCCTAAATATAGGATTGAAAAATGACACCACAGCCCAATTCAACGGTTTACAAAATAAAATTAAATTCTAAGCTAAAGAATTTTAAACTGCTTTTTTTCTCTATATGTACTAATCTATATAATAATCTAGAACTATCTTTCTGTGCTTCTGTTTATCCTTATGAAAAAAGAAACGTAGAAAAATATTTTTCCAGTTTGGAAAAAGATGTGAAACAACATAAGCATTTTTAGATACTCAGTCTTAAATCATATACATGTAAAATGTTTGTCACTAATAACTTATTGACATAGATGTCTTTCTACCTTTGCAACTGTAATTCCATAGTCCTGGAGAGGTTTAACAGCCTTATTCAGTTCTTCAAGAAATATAGAGGTACTTGGAGAATCTAAAATAAGAAATGTTTTATGAATGTTTAATGACTTGCCCTTAGGAAAGATGAATTTTTAAAATTAAAGCCCAAAGCTGCAAGCTGAAGAATATATTAGTTTGCCCAACGAGTATACAATAACAACAATTAGTAATTAAACACACCTAGTTATTTATTTTATACCCTAATTTCCAAAACTTCATTATTCGTATTTCTAAAGTCTTTATAATGACATATTTTAACTTTGTAAGTGACCTTAAAAACTTTCTAATATAATAAGGTAAATAAATGTTTAATTTAAATCTAATATTTGGGATTATTTTTCCAAGTTTAATATCATATACAAAATAGACATGTACACATGCACAAAACTTTCAAAATGATTTTAAGATACCATTTTCAAATCACAATAGAGTCAATAGAAATGTGGATTTTCTTCACTCACTAATTCCAATAGTATTTTTTAATGCATGAAGACTTAAATGAGACCATTACAATTATTAGTTATGTTCAATAGTTACATTAGTTAATTCAGTTTAATTAATGTTATTAATTAACTAAGCAGAGTATTATACTAAAGCATTACTCATACTACATTTAAAGTTTAAAAACACTTAAAATGTTTACATGCTAAAAATACCAAAAAGTATACTTTCAGAAATGACTAGATAAAATTCAGATGTTTTTATATTAATAGCTAATTTTTATCTAGTATTTACTATGGACTAGTCACATGAGTACAATCACTTAATCCTTACAACGAATTTATGAAGCAAATACTATTTCCTCGACAATAGGAATGACAAAAAAGACACACAGAGAGACTTAAGTGACTTGACCAAGGTCACACAGGAAGTCAAGCAGTAGAATCCGGATTCAAACCCAGGCAGGCATTTTATAGTAGCAGCTTTGTAGCTAGCACATATGAATCCTAACAATACATTCCCACTGAACATATTAAGTAGCAATGGAAACATCACAAAAATCAGAAAATAAAAAGTACTTACTGGCTTGACAAAAATAAGCTAAGGAGGCTTTTCCTTGTTGCAATGTACTTAAATATTTCTGAGGACTCAGTTCTGGTAGAGAGTCTACTGTCGACTTGTAAAAAATGCACGTCATGACAAAAGAGATGCCAACTGTAAATACACTGAAACTGGAAGACATCATCAGCTGTAGTTGTATACAGGCAGGAGATTCTGTTTTGTTCACTGCTGTGTTCTGTTGCCTAGGACAATACCTGGCCAAGACTAGGTGCTCGACAAAATTTTGCAGAATGAATTTGTTGAAAAACTGAATGAAGTAAAATCTGCAAAAAGAATAATATAAGGCCTTACTTATATATATGATTTGGCTAGTACTTTACTATTTCCTTCTAATAAAAATTTGATAAGTTATGATATATAATGGCATTGATTTGATAATATTATGGGTTCTTTGATACTTGCAAAATGTATCAAAGATATCTGGAAAATGTAACACAAAGTATCTTAAGTTTAATAGATAGTAATGAAGTATGTTAAGCTAATTGTCATTTTTAAAGGTCCTAAAATTAATTCTCAAATATCCAATCCATTTTTAAATTGGGCATTTTAAATTTCTCTACCAAGAGTAGATTTACAATTAATACACAAATAGTTATTTAATACCATTAATATGGCAGTGAGACATCCAAAATATGTCTACTATGTTTACATTCTTTTTACTTTAAATCTGCTGGAAAGTAGCTATTAAAACTACTTAAGAACATTCCTTTTGAATACACATTTTTAATGCTCCAGACTTAAATTTATTTATATTGCTTAGAAATTCAAATATCTTTTTCAACTCATATTTTAATTCGGTTCTATTTTCTGAACTCAGATTTGTTCTAGGTCAGCGGTCCCCAACCTTTTTGGCACCAGGGACTGGTGCTCCTATGAGAATCTAATGCCTGATGATCTGAGGTGGAGCTGAGGCTGTGATGCTAGCGCAGGGGAGAGGCTGCAAATACAGATGAAGCTTTGCTTGCTCACCCCTGCTCACCTCTTGCTGTGCAGCCTGGTTCTAAAAAGCCACAAACTAGTAGTGGTCTGTGGCCTGGGGGTTTGGGACCCCTGTTCTAGATAACCTCCTCTCATCTTTTCATGCTGTGGTTACTTCTGCACTCTCCTCTGTATCTGCCGTCAATTCTCTTCTGTTTTGCTACTTCCAAATTTATCTTAAACAATTTCTTCTTTCAGGAAGCTTTTCTACTGATAATCTATATTACCTAAGTTTAAAAGAAGATAGTTTAGGAAAATTTGTATAATATGAAAATATCATACTTCCAGAAGTTAAAGATACACTCACAGGTATAGGTGAGAATTTTGTTTTAATTTTTTTAAATTTCAAATAGAACCCATAATTTTCAAACAAAAGATCACAATCTTAAAACAGGAAACAGGGAGGGAAAAGAGAAAAAAAAAATTACTCATAAGGATGGGGTAGAATTTTTCAGTAATGAATAAAATAATAAAAGAATGAAAAATTACACTAAATTGGATATTTACTCTGGTCTTTCAATACTATCAATAAATACATAACACCTCTCCCCAAAGTAGCAGGTATACCTAAAAAAAGGAGCTAATTCCTCATGATTACTTCCTAATATTCCTCTCATTAGAGCTAATTTATATCAAACAATGAACAAACTTGCCATCAATTTTTAATAATGAGCCAAGAGTTCAAAAACTCAAGTAGAATGAGGACTGAGGACTGTGAGAGGTATATAAAAAAATAATTTTAATGATACAATTAAGGGGTATCCTTGACATTAAAATTGATTATACTCTATAGACACTTTAAACTGGCATATTTTAAAACCACTTTATATTAATGGGAATGTTTCAAAATAGGTCATCCAAGATTTTCTTTATATTCTGGGGGATGGGGATGGGAAACGCATGCATCTTGAGCCTAAGGGAATAACTACATAAAATTTGTTACTAATGAAATAATTCTAACCTAATTAAAAGGTAAATATCTAAGTAAAAGCACAATTGAAAGATTCAAGTGTAAAATATAATTTTTCTTGTCTTTGTGGTTATAATTCAAGTATTTTAACACTAAATTGGACATTAGGGTTAACATATGATTCTTTTCTCCTAGAATGTATTTTGCAGCACCAAATGTGTCTTACTGCACATTCAGTGCTTGAATACTTTTCCACATCTATTTTACTGAATACATGACATTACACATGTGAAAGTACTGTGCATTTGATCAATTAGAGATGTTGGTGATTATTCTTACATGTAGAGAAAGGAACTTAGCAGCAACCTTGCAGTTTGTTCCATCTTTGATAAGTTTGATTATTCAAGAAATTACTTAAAGCAGAGAATACTGCACAGGTCGGCTAGAAATAGAGTTTACATAGTCATAATAAAATACTGAATAATGATTTAACCAAATCCATGACAACCACAGTTGAGAAGATGGGGAGACAAAGTAAAAAAAGTATGTGATCAGGGTGAGAAAAGGAATAAAAGAGAGCTAAATATTCATCTTTCACAAGACCAAAAGCCAAGTTTATTGGAAATAGGAAGATCAATGCCAAAAGAAAAGGAACAATTGAAACTAATTGTCTTTAAGGAATAAGAATTGTGGGGGGAGGGAAAAGACCCCAGGGTACTTTGAAACCTTATAAAACCATCAGACTTTCTAAACTGTACCTTTTCACTTTGATTTAAAAGTTATTACTTGTATATAATCAAATCTTCTACAGATTCGACTCATATTAATCCAATCTACCCCTGTGGGGCCACAGAAGAGTGTTCATTTCACATGCAAGGTAAATAAAACGAATTTGCCCAGAGACTTGTCTCCTCATAAAAAGATCTTTAAAAAGTATGAATGGGAAATGGTGGGGGAATAGTAACACCCAGTGAGAACAGAGTAAAGACAAAAATACAGAAGGTACCTGGTGTCTTTTTTCTCCAGTTATTTGAATATGGAATAGAAAACAGTACTTACTGCTTCCAAACCTGAAAATCAAAACAGTGATGAGAACCTTGGAAGAAATGTGACCTTGTTACCTTGGTGTGGTAGTTCATTAGCATGGGGTACATAGTTTGTTTTCGTGTCAGATATTAAGTAGGATTACTTACCTTCCTGTATTTCCCACCTCTAGTAAAGTTTGAAGCCACCATGTGACTTATTCTGGCCAACAAAATGTGAGCAAAAATGGTATGTCTCTTTCAGGCAACAATTTTAACAGCTACTGAGTGATATACCAGGCTTTGTTTTCTTCTGTCACAGTCATTAAAAATGCTTGCTGTTCATCATCATGGGTCCCAGAATGAGTACAACAAAGAGAACCCACAGCTGATATGCAATGAGCATGTGATACAGGAAGAAATAAATCTTGTCTTAAGCCACTGAGATCTGAGGAGTTCTTACTGCAGAAAAATCTAGTTTATCTTCACTGGTATACAAACTAGAAGTGAGATGCTGCCTTAATGAGAACCCCAAAATACTGGCTCAGGGGTCAAGCAGCAAGGAAACTATTCTGGGTCTAATCAAGGAAATTCTTTTCTTTAAGGATACTAATCAGAGACAGGAGCTCACCAAATGATCCACATTAAGGAGTGACAAAACAGTTAATGAAACTGTCACTACAATAATTTGGAGGTGACACGTACCTAATGAATTTATGAGCATGTACCAGGTTCGTGAGGCTAATGGACTTACTTATAGCTCTAAGAAGCTAGAAGATGGAAGGTGAGTATCGTGTGATAGTTGCTGTTGGTTTTGTTTAATGAGATATTAAAAGAAAGGTACTCGAAGAACCATCACCATTCAAGAGACTAGCTGTTTAAACCATTTTCCGTTTAGAAAAAAAAAGTACAACTCACTGCCAGCATTAACTTAATTTTACATAAACATGCTCTTTGAGGCTGAAGCAAATCTGACTGATTTTCAATGTGAAAATAAAATATAAAAACTGTTCTTGGAGTTATTTTAAAGAGAACTTTTGTCTTTAATACTAATGTTACAGAAATGTATACGATGAACAGTATTTAATAATTTTTTTTAAGTGGTAAACTTCAAAGCACTAAACAACACAAAGCAGAACATCTTGGATTTGACATTTTCAGCGATCAAGAATTACTATATTTTGTAAATGGAAATACCACTACTAAAAACAGAATGCTATAAATAGAAGATGTCATTTGTTTCCAAAGACTATCGATATACTAGAGCAATGCGAAAATAATAATAAAAGCAAGATATTTCATGGCAAATTTAGGGGTAAGGTGAAGAATGTAATCCCCAAGTTATCTCGGGGTAAACAGTGAGACCGCAAGCACCACTGGAAAGTATTCTTGGGACAAACAGGAAATGGGTCAAAACTTAAAACAATCCTTTATTCCCCCCACCCTTGTAAAGTCAGGAAGCAAGCTGAAAAAAATTGCTCAGCCATATAAAGAGTTCATATTCTCCAAAGCCACTTCAGATGTGGCCAGAGATAATAAAGATAGAAGGCCCTCTCACAGGGCAAAGCCAAGGACCATGGAGAACTATGCTCTAGCGTATGTGCCAGAATGCAAACTGTTACTGGTCTACAATAAAACAATTTCTGTGATAAACAGAGAAATCGAGTATAAATGCTTAGAAGTGTTTATAGCAATTTCACACATTTGCAAATAAAATGCTAAGGGCAACAAAAATTTGTTTTGTTCAGCACCAAAATGAGGAGGAAGTACTTCAAGGGAAAAACACTGATCTTCCTGCTATTGAGGGTAGGGGGCAAGGATACGCTTTTCATGTGTTCCGTAGAAAGGTGCAACAGCTGGTGGCCCTCTTCGGCTGGAGGAATCCCATTTTGGATTGGGTCCTATATGTAATAGTTGGCAAACAGTTCCACTTTAAATGTTTGAAAGACCATTGTGCTAAAGTAATCTGAACAACGGCATTCAATCACTGCATTTGGACACATTTCACATTTTAGAATATCTAGCAGCAAGCTTTTCCAGAAGACCCTTGATCCATTTCCCCTTTATAGGCCTAAATTTCCTATGGTTTTCTCTCTCAAGAAAAAGAGGAAATTAACAACTGTGAACATTACAGAAATTATACCAAGATCTGTGGGCATCATTCTCTGGGAAAAGACACATGTCATATTTTGCAACGAAAGGGGCATAGAATGCTTATAAAGTTCCTGTAAGAATATTCTGTCAAAAATTAGCTTACTTACAGTTCAATGCTGCTACTGGAGAATAGAGCCCCACTCACTGAACCAGGCTCAAATAAAACATTGATTAGATATTCATAGCTTATCATTTAAGGCCCAAAGGAGGCAATAAAAGGAGTCAACATCTCTCTACTTTTCAGCCCCATCAAAGTACTTGGGGAAAATTCCTTCTCTCCACCCTCTATATAAGTGCCTCCCAACCTACCCCCGCAAAAAGGAGGAAACAAGTGGGTGTCTGGACTTGCAATGACAGTGGAATAAAAAGTCTCACAGGCAAAGAGCTAAAACTAGTATATAGGCACTATTCAGATGTCAACTATCACTTTGAGTAGAGAATACAGGAGAAAAAGAAAAAACCCTTCATGGTGAAAATCTGTTCATGACATTAAACTTGCATGTCACTGATTATGGAAGATATAAAAACAGGTCATGCCAGAGAATAGGAGGCTCCCCTGATTTTGACAAATGCCTCAAATCACATAACTCTGAGTTCATGCTTAATTTATGTGCTTAAGCGCATAACTGCAAACAGGTAACTCACTATAACTATGAGCATTCTTTTCCCACTCAAATAAAACTGTGTACTGCCCTAACCACTCGCTCTAGGAATCCATTAGGTGAATTTCTTATATAACAATATAAGAATAAAGATCCAATAAACATGAGATCCTTCTCTAAAGCATTGTTGGATTAGGCCTGTTAACTTCTTACAGCAAGTTGTATCTTACTCTAGGCTGAACTGCACAACTTGCTAAGCTGAATATTTCATCTGAGAGTTATCTGCTTAACAGTGCTAGGGCTAAACATCTATCACAGTTTGTCAGCACACCTATAAAGAATCCAAAATATACCAGCATCTGGTGCTTGGTGAACTACTGTCCCAGAACGTGGAGTACAAAATAAACTTTAGTTTCCTGTGGGTCACTAGCTAAGAAAGAAGGTAGCAGCACTCTTCTTGCGCAACATTAGAACTAATAGTGAGTTAGGAAAGGCTAAGTCCTGGCTGTGCTAGTTAACGTAGCGGTGTCTTTCAGAGATACTGAAGTTGTGATGTGCCACTTATTCTAAGAACAAGAATCATTTTCTCTTCATTTGGCACTATTCTGCTCATTTTCTTAAACAAATAACAACAAAAAATCAACGAATGTTATGTATCAGTCCAATACACGTTGGGAAATTTATTTCTCCCTTATTTATAGCAGTAACATAATAGAGCACTGGTTTTGTATCTGAGCCACCATCTACCACATACTGGACGAATACTTTGAAAGGAATACATGTAGAATGTAAGGAGCGCAGACTATTCTACTTCTTCCTCTCTAGACATTCATCAAAGACATACAGTTCTACTTCTGCCTTTCTCTTGAACTTATGCCCAGAGCATCTTTCCAATTCTTAGTTTCAAAGATCCACGTTCCCCCTACTCACAGATCGCTTGGACATCCATCTCAACCTAATGCCATTCTTCCTTAAAGGACCGTTCCCGGGGAAGAGAAGAGTCTTACTTAGAGCTTCGGTTCATCATTGATCATTCCATCCCTTCTCCCTTCAAAGGGCGCACGTTTTTCCCGCCGCTCACGACAGGAAAGAAGAAAGTAAAATGCCCCTCAGAAAAATCCAAGTGAGACCCTTTCTAAGCCAAATTCCAGAACTCAGCGGTGCGGCCCTTGCTGGGGGAGAGCCGTCGGATCTGAATCCATCCTTGCAGGCACAAATCACAGCCCTTGGCCTGAAGAACCCGCGCAACCACTTACCAGCCTGCGCGCGGCCGACCGCTCCCGCCACGTGAAGGAGAGGCAGAGGCGGGGCCTTGCCCGGCTCGCCCGAAGCAGCGGACCGATGCGCCAACCTGCGAGACCCAGCGCCTACTGCCGCCACCGCTCGGTAGAGTCGGTGCAGTCGGTGCAGTCGGTGGAGTCGACCTGCAGGGCAAAAAAAACAAGTCCCAAGGCTCCTCCTTCTCCTCGTGCTCCTTACGTGCTACCTCTCCAACCAATGGGAAAAGCAGGGGGCGGAGCGAGACCCGCCCCAGGTGACAGGCAACAACCGAATCCTCCCGCCGATGGGAAGGAGCCGTGCAGTTGCTGGACCAATCCGCGGCGTGGGTGTGGAGTGCAGGGGAGGGAGAAAGCGGAGAAAGCGAACGGCCAATCGGATCTTTGAGCCCTGGAGCGACGGGTTCCACGGCCCGTGGGCTTCCGAACGCGGCGCGCAGGGGGCGTGCCCGCCTGGGCCAATCGGCGCGAGCCCACCGTGCGGAGCGAGCGCCTCAAATGCTCGGGTTTCTCAGCTGATTGTCTCCAGCCGAGAGTTGTTTTTTGCAGCTACCGAGCGGAGCCGCAGCAGGAGGAGCCGAGACCCCCGGGGGAGGGGGAAAGGAGGCGGGGTCGGGGAGCCGCGGCTGCTCTGCGTGGGGCTCCGGGTCCTGTCACGGCGCTTCCTGGGGTTGAAGGTTGGGGTGGGTGGGGGGTAAGGGACAAATCCTTCTCCCCCTCGACGGCTGTTCCGAGTCCTGCCCTTTCCTTCCCGCGCTCCCTCGCCCGCCGCCCAGCCCCCTCATGGGGGTTTCCGTGCCGGGTCCGGTG